CTGGAGTCAAAGCTGCTGAAATCCACGCAGCAGGGGTTGTGGTGTGTGACTATGTCCCTTTCTCATCTATTTTTCTCTTAGTTGTTAAGCACCTCGATCAGTGCCTGGCTAAGAGCTTTGTTCTCTAAGATGAGCCGAGTTAAAGTTTGCACTGCGTTTGAATGCTGAGATGTGTACTGATCTGCCTTTTGCCAAGTGTCTTCTTATTACACACGGGTGACCCAAAGTTCATCAGGCAAAATTATTTATAGTGGGTGGAAAAAGCAGAGGAGTTAGTTAATTACGGCCGATGGGTGGGATTTCTTGCAAGTCAAGCGGAGAATCCCACTGCCGTCCGTAGGGCAGAGCCGAGGGAAAAGCCACCTCTGTTCCGAGATCAGGACCGTGGTGGAACGAAGGGAGACTGTCACTCTGTAACATCTAAAAAGCACGGCCCCGTTAGTGGAGCCAGATGTAAGCGGTGTCACAAGAGAGCCCCGGGGAGATGATGAGGAGGATGCCCAGAGCCCCCGAGCCAGACTGTGGCGACAGTTGGGACTCGCTGAGCGCCTGACGCAGCTCCTGTGGTGCCGCATCACGGCGGAACATGTCCCAGTCAGAGCTGTCGCCAGGGGCATCCCCAGGCAGCTCCACTGCAGATTAGCTTTCGGGATCTGGGCATGGATAACACAATTCCCTGTGTTTCACAGACACTCTGAACAGGCAAGAAAAACCTTTTACAAGAGAGGTGAAGTCTTTGCCTGCATTTCCTTCATTTCAAACCCACAGTCTGTTGTATTTTTGCTGACTCCATCTGATGTCATACCAAGTATGTCCCATTATCTCTAAAGCAGGAAAAAAAAGACAAGTTTAATGTTTCTGTTAGGCATTAGGGACCGCTGACAGGGACATTTGTGTTATCTGAGGGCTTTGTGATGTGTAAAAGATCTGTGTGTCAGCTATTCTCTAGTGAGTGTTCATGCTGTGCTGGTTTGGGCTGAAGTAGAGTTAACTTTCTTCACAGTGGCTAGTATGGGGCTATGTTTGGGATTTGTGCTGAACACAAGGTTGATAATGCAGAGATGTTTTTGTTATTGCTGAGCAGAGCTCAGACAGAGCCAAGACCTGTACTGCATTCCGTACTGCCATGCTGGCAAGGAAGTCAGGGGTGCCTGGGAGGAGACACAGCTGGGACAGGTGACCCAAACTGAACAAAGAGATATTCCATACCATAAGACATCATGCTCAGTATATAAGGTGCGAGGAAGGAGGAAGAAGGAGGAAGGGAGGACATCTGGAGTGATGGCATTTGTCTTCCCAAGGAAGTGTTACACGCAATGTGCCCTGCTCTCCTGGAGGTGCTGAACACCTCCTGCCCATGGGAAGCAGTGAATTAATTCCTTGTTTTGCTTTGCTTGTGTGTGCAGCTTTTGCTTTCTCTATTAACCTGTCTTTATCTCAACCCATGAATTTTTCTAGCTTTTACCCTTCTGATTCTCTCTCCCATCCCACTGGTGGGGGACTGTGTGAGCAGCTGTGTGGTTCTTGGTTGCTGGCTGGGGTTAAACCACAACAATGCACATACTCATGCATATATCACACACGTACGTAGCACACTAATAGGCAGAGGCAAATTCTATCTGCCCCTTGCTTATGCACAACACTCCAACTAAACAAATATGAAAGGTGGAGTGATGGAACTATGTCTGGGCTCAATGTGCCCAGAGCAGTGTCATCTCACCCAAATATGGCCCTCGAGGTGCAATACAGTTTGGCTGACAGATCACATTCTGACACACACATGATATCTATGATTGATCCATTCTCCCCTCTAGACATTCTGACTACATACATAACTGTGCCCACATGACACAGCACAAGGACTGGAGAGACCAGGGCTGAATACCATTTAAATGAGAGCAAATTGTGGCTGTAGTCTTCCACATGGCATGATACCACCACCTGCAAGTGAAATCACCCACTAGAGATGCCTGACCATATTCTCCGCAGATGGAGAATTAAGGGCCTCAATGAAATCACTAAGTGATATGGGACAGATACGGTCTTGGAAGACTTTGCAAATTTGTTCTATATTCATAGAAGAAAAGCTAAAACCAAAATCTCAAATTACCTGGGTCCAAAAATTCGTGATAAACACTAGGCTCAGTTTGAAAAGCTTTTATGAGCAATTTTCCAGATACTCATTCTGAGAGATCCTTGTACAATGCTTCTATGAAACCAAATCAAAATCACAAACTTTTGTGTGTTAGGAGAGGGGTTTACGGCCAGGTGAGCTGACTTCACTGTCTTAAGAGCAAAGCTAGAAAGGCCGTTCTACACAATATGGAATTAAGACAACTAAATTATGGTTGATTTGTGACATTAGCTAGGTTTGTCTAAGTATGTGAATTTTTTTTTTAGTAAGAGTTTTCTATTCTGTGTGAACACTTTACCTTCAGATTGATTACTTAAGACAAGAGTATACAAGACCTTACAGAAAGATCGGAATAAACCCACTGTGCACCAACATTAGCCATTTCAGTTTACCTGTAAAGAAAATGCATTCAACAGATAAGGTTTAAAAAAAATTGAGAAATCTGTGAGCTACAACTCTCAGAATTTGCAAAGGACTTGAAGAATACCCTTCAGGAAGGACAAGACAAGACATTTCTAATACATTCCAAAGCTAAAGCAAACTAGGAGGATTAGCAACTAGTCAGGCTTGAAACAAAGTGACTGTTTGCACAGACCTCAACACCCAAGCTGCAAACTGCTGAATTTCTAATTTGACAGCATATGTTTCACAAGCTACCATGGGCAACACGCCTGCAACTTGCTGTGGCTTCTCGTCACAGCAGTTGAGTTGCACGAACTTCGGTGGTGTGTGGGAATCCCAGCAGCTATCTGGAACCACCTGCTTGGGACAACCCTCCAGTTTTTGAGATCTAATCTGCAAAGCTATCTCCAATGAAATGTTTTGGATCTGGGCTCACAAAGATATCTTTAACCAAGCTCGATGTAAATTTCTAGAACTAAATCCTCAGGATTGGATCTTATTCACAGCATGATGTTTCTTCCCTTTGTTCTTCCAGAAGTTGAAAACGAGTCATTGCCCTTCAGAGGCACATGCTATTCATACTGGTGCTTATGCAGTCATCCTTCATATCATAAATACCTGTCAGATCTTGGTCTCTGCTTCTAGGAGTGCTTTTATATGGGTTTTATTTCTCAGTAGGCTTCATCAGTGGTTAATTTCTGGAACTAGAACTGTTAAGTGTCAGAACAGCTACTGTACATTTAAAAGGAGCATAAGTGGGCCTAATTCAAACCAGATACCATTAGAAGTTGCATTTATGTTTATATGACACAAGAGAGAGAGACTGTATCACCATATGGGGGCTTTGATGACAATAATGACCCTTGTCCACTACTATGCATTCTTATCCCCTCTTTTTGCACTTCCATGAGCCCCTTTCATTGAAAACCCACCATGGCTTGCAGCCCCATCCCAGAGCCTAACTTTCCAGCTCAGGTTGCAAGGACTGAGGCTGGCTGCCTTGCATGCTCAAGTCCCATTCTTGGTACCAGCTAGGAATAGTAACCATCAAACTGTTATCCTGTTTTCTCTCTTAACGGCCAAGAGACTCAACAGCATGTCTGTGTCCTGTGAATTCTGGTATGTGCTGCCTGCAGTGTCTGTTCCTATCTGTTCCTGCCAACAGCATGACTTCATTCAACTCTGTGATATTCCAGACAACACGACTGAAAATAACACTGGCACTTACCTGAGCTGCCAGGGCCTTCTGATGCACTTCTGGATGTTTTTGGCTGGCTCTGTTTGCTACTTGTTCGTACAGTGACCGAAGGAGGAACAGTGCTGCTGCTGTCTCCACGAATCGTTGAGAGATCCTGCATGCTAAAGCTCCGTAGTCTCTCAGACAGGGCTCCCTGTCCCTAGTTAAACGAGCAAGTAAATAACACAAAGTTAGATCCAACAGTAATTTTTGAGCTTTTCTTCTCCCTTGCTAACTGAAATCCATAAGGACAACAGGAAGTGAAAAAAAATTGCCTGGTCCAGTAATCTACAGAGGGCAAAAATATGTTGCTAAAAGCATAATTTCCCTCTCTTTGCTCTTCCTTTTGGAATGTTTCTATGCACAGTCATTCAAACTTTTGATGGCATCTCTGATTCTTCAATGTAGTCATTTGAGCTCAGAGCAGCCTTGGCCACGTGTAAAGGAGCAGGATGTTGTGTCTTTCTAGAAGGTACTTTTCTTCATTGGGATCTGAGTCAAACAGGTGCTTGGCTTCAGAATTACAATTAATGGACTGCATCAAAATAACTCCTTTTTAAACTTAATCATCTATGATAATATTCACCCAGCTGTTCTCAGCCATACACAATACTTCCAGAGCACAAAAAAAATTGAAATTTTAAAGTAATAAAAAGATATGGTTAAATGCAAAGAAATATTCCAGTGCTTTTTTTTATTCATGCAGCTTAAGGAAGAAATAAACTAACAATATTCTTCTTTCTGTTTAGACTACCTCTCAATCAGGCAACAGACAAATTCCTTGGTGAAAGGAACGTAACAGTTCTTTGTACCTTTCATGAAAACAATATCCCATCAAAAAGTTGACTGTAAGTATTCTGCAACTCTCATACTCCACCACTGCCATAACATAGGAACACCAGAAAATTCAGTCAGTACAGAATCACAGAATCCTTGGGGTTAGAAAAGACCTTTAAGCTACCTTAAGTGACATTCAGAATATGAATTGCATAACTGTACACCTGGGTTTTAATATTTTGTTGGGTGGGGTAGGATCTAAAAGGTACTTCACAGCATATAGTCTTGAAAAAAATACTGAAATGAACACATAGAGCCTAATACTAAAATTCTTTCTGCTAACTTAAATTAGGAAAAATTCAATGGATGCTTTAGCTGAGATGAAATAAGAAAGGTGCCAAAAAACAGTTGATATTGCCCTGTTTAACAAAACAGATAAGGCACATGATAGCAATTCACCCCCCACTTTCATTTAGATTTGTAATTGTCAAAGCAGTACATCAGTGGAAGCACAGCCTGAACACTGCCAGAGGACTCTAGGCTGGGGCTGGACCAGAACACATCCCTGCTCCCTTCTGGTCTGCAGATTTGAGTATCCTGCCCATGAAACCATTGTGCAGGTGCAGGACCAGTGGAGAGTGTGCTCTGGTGCTGGCCTGGCACACAGAAAGGACTCATCCTGAGCATCTACAGTTGAAGGCAAGAATGGACACATTGCTTGCTAAAGCAGCTAGGCAACACTACCTGTCCCTTACTGCACCAGCATTGATCCATTGGGAAGGCAATGCATTAATTTACCTACTGATTTACCAACACCATTTCAGAAATTTCACATGCACAGTAAGGAAAATTCAGTGCCTCCACCTCAGAGAAATCCCTTAGCACCTTACTTCTAGGGACTGCAAGTAGACAAGGGATCAGGTGCCTACAACTACTATCACTGTGGCACTCTGTACTCTTTGCATTCAAGAAGACTCCTGGGCCAGTAATCTCTCAACTTTTCAGCCTGAAGCTTTTTGTACAAAACAAATGGGTTCAAACTCCCTTCTCAACTCCACAGCACATCAGTTTAACCATATCCACATCCTGGACTACAGCACTTTTCTGTGCCGGCAAGAGCCAAACAGCATGTGGAGATGAATTCTTCAGTTCAGTGCTGTCCCAAAGCATAATCAGTAGAAATAGGTGTCGTGTAAGAAAAACAAGATTGAGCTGTCCCTTGTAGGGCAGAGTCACCCGGGGCAGCTGGTCAGGAGGCTGCACTGGGATTTTTAAATTAATTTTACTGACCTGATGTTTCTTAAAATCTAAGTATACTGTGTTTGGCAGCATTTCCTAGACTCACAGAATGATTTGGATTGGAAGGGACCTTGAAGATCATCTTATTCCAACCCCTTGCCACAGGCAGGGTCACCTTTCACTAGACTAGGTTGCTCAGGGCCCCATCCAGACTGGCCTTGAACACTTTCAGGATTTTGCATTTAGCTTTCCTGCACACTGTTACAGAGAAGCAGCAGACTTACTTTGCTCTTTCCCACTAGCCTGTTCTACTTCTGAAAGTATTTTAAATGGATGGGGCTTCTTTGTTTGTATACCAAGCCATTCTATCTTGCTGGTTTTATATGCCTGGCAAAGGAGTCATGAGAACTTATGTTCTGGTAAAATCTGACCTCTGCCATTGCATTCTCCAACCTGCCACAAGGATTGATGTCTGAATTTTGGCTACCCTTGCCAGTGGCTTGAGCCACTCTTGGGACACATTTTCACTCCAAGAGGCATCTCAAATTAATTCTCTTAAGCCAATGTAAGGTACATTTACTCTGCAAATGTTACTCAGCTGGTACACTGAAGTTTCTTTGCACAGCTGGTCAGCTGGGTGAGATCTTAGCCGTGCAGAGCTCAGTGCAGCTCTGGATGGGTTCTGGAGCTTGCAATGAATTCCTGCACAGCCACCCTATTCTGTGGAAGACTGAAAGCCAACACAAGATATCCTATCCTGCAATCTGATTACAACAGAGATCCCCAGAAAGGGCAAGCTGAGAGCAATCAGACCACTAAATATTTTGCTGTTGCAGAATGACTGGACAGCAAAGACAGAGGGTTAGCAATTGATGAGATGCTGTAACCTGTGTGCTACATTCCTCCTGCACCCCCAGCTCAAATATCAGCAGTGTTCAAGCTTTAAACCTCTTCCCAGCTGCTCTGCTCAGCCAGCTAACCTAAATTCCACAGCATTCCAGCCAGCAATTTATGTATGTGGACACAAGTCAGATTAGAGACAAGATTCATGTGACAAACCAACCTGGCAGTGAAAATGACACTAACACACCCTTTTGCATAGAAAATGAAGAGGATATGTTAATATTCTTGCATTGCAACTTGTGATAGAGTAGCATATAATGATCAAAGGCTCCAGAGAGAGCTTTGAAACCAGGGCCTGATACATGCCTGTCATCCGTGGGTCCGTTACATCAGTGTATAATAATACAACCAGAGCCTTGAGCACATACTCACAGCAGCTGAGCTAAACAACTTTGACCTCCTCCAGGAAAAAAAATAAATTGTCTTTTCTTAATTTTTGCTTTAATTTCACCTGAGTTTCTAACAGCAAAGATAAAGGTTGCTTATCACACATATAATGTTACTGTTTCTACCATTCCAGGAAACATTTGTCCAAATCTCAGAAATGGCAGGAACAGCAAAGGCTTGGGCTGAGTGAGGGCACTGAACACCTGTGAAACCCTGCAGACTTCCATTTCTTTTCTTTCCCATTTCTGCACCTTCAGTCTTTGCAGAGCCAGACTTGACTTAATTGCTCCGAGGGCACAATGCAACACTCACACTTCTTCCTCAGTTAACCACAGTTTTACCTGACCCCAAATAGAAACAGGAGCACAGAATCAGGATGGTTTCAGAGTAAAATGGAAGATGTTGTTACCAACCTTCATTTCCCTGTCAGATAAGTAGCCACTGTGAGGGTTTGCACTGCTGCAGTTATGCATTTTAGAAATAATGACTTTATCCAGCTGAAAAGATTATTATCCCACAACAAGACTTACCATTTATTAGCAAAAAAACCCCAAACAAGTTAACAGCTTTATTTCGCAAGGGAATAGATTTAGCACAGTACACGTCTTGGGTCATGTTTCACTACAACAAACATGTGGAAGATGAGAGCAGCTGTTTTGGAGGATTTTTGTTTACCATCTTGGCTGTGATCACCTAGATAACTCTTCCACCTGCTGCAGACATGAGAGATATCCCAGGAATTTCAGCGCACAGTGTGTCTTCACGGAGAAAAAATCCAGGTCCTGAAGCTACGCCTACGCAGCAGGCCAGAGGCATGTTTGCAGCACGTCCACACAGATCTGGACTAGTTTTATCCTAGAGAGCATGACAGCAGTAATATCGTGACAGTAGCTGTGGTAACATTTCACTGTGTCAACTGCAAAACACCAGGATGTTATCATACAGCCTTCTGAAAACAGGGACTGGGGAGGGTAGCAGGACTATGGTGACACCACTGCTCTCTCTTCTCTCATTGAACACCATCTACACTGTCAGGATGATTGTGCTGGCAATGTGGGATCTGTGTTTTGGGGACTTTAGAGGACACAAGCATGAAGTGGTGCTGGAAGACAGCTTTAATCTCCCTGAGCACAAGACTATCTGTCTAGACTCAATTTCTACCTCATCCAGCTTCTCCCAGGACACAGACTGTCACTGTAAACATGGCACTTTTGATACTGTAGACAGTGAGTTTGCTAGATGATGAGGTTTTCTGACTACAAGTGGGAGCAGGTGCCTCCGTGTTCCCTGATCACTACAGTGCACCTGCTCCCAAGTAAGAATGTTCACTCCGTAGGTAAAAGCATGGCACAAGCTGAAAGTGGAGTTCTTCAGGCTTCCTTTGCCTTTTCTTCTCCCAGGATATACCAACCTCAAAAGTCCATACATGGGACAGCTCTCTCTTTACAGGGGCAGAGAAGGGCCTGGCCGGGACAGGGCTCAGTGCTACTGCATATGATAAGAGACAAACACTACAAAAGACACAGTAATTATCAGCCCCCAGTCACTGCTATCCGTTGGTATCAACTTTATTTAGAGTCATGGCACCACCAACTGTATTAGGGCATCACCCACCAAGACACGGATGTTCGAGCTGCAGAAGCTCATCTGTGATTCTAAGGGAAGTTAAAGCTCCCATACGTGTGACAGAGTAATTAATATAAAACTAATTTAGGCACATCCACCTGCTTCAGTCAAAATGACAGCTGTAGTATAAGCATTCCTTACCCACATCTAGCACATTCTCTCCTTTAGTTTTAAAGAGTAGGAGAGAACAGGATTAAAATACTGAGCTTCTAAAGTCAGCAACCTGCACATTGCCTCTGAAACAAACATCAGCCTCAGTGGAGCCAGTGCATGAACACTGTTACATTCAGTATTTACCTGGAAGGATCAGAAATCTTGATCCTTTCAAAAAACTGAAGTCTGCAGTGTGACAAACACTGTAAAAGGTGTACCATGAGAAAGAGCTGAAACTGTCTTAATTTCCTTACCTCTCTATAATTAACCTGTGCATTCACATCTGAACTAAAACTTTTTAGAGGGAGATGCATTTAGGAGTCTAGGAAAAACTGGGTTTACATCCAGTGGAATGATTCATTATAAATACTCCACATATACAGGCAGCTAAAGCTGAAGTAAATAAAATTAAGCACATAATTTAAAAATCTGCAATTTATGTAACAGCCTCATTAAATACGATCCAAATATAAACAAATGTCTAGATTTTATCATTCCTTCAGTCTGAAAATATGAAAGAATTCTGTACACATTATTTAGGCTTCAGAACACCTCTAATACCTACAAATTCCACTTCGCAGCTGTAGAAACAATGACACAGCATGGTGAAGTGACACAAATCAGGAAGCAAAAACTGCCAAGTCACAAAAGAGCAGCTTTTAATACAATCACTGTTAGTGCAGGATGGCACCTTCTGGCCTTTTGTGTCTTCGGATCAGCAGTTACTGGACAAGCAAGGGAACACTAAGTCACGCTCAGCACACTTCCAGCACAATACTAAACCTGTTAATGAATGCTCTCTCTTCTTGCTGTAACTGTGGTTAGTAGTTGTCCTCCATGCTAGCAGACATGTCTGCATGCATGTTACAGCCTCCACCCTGCTGATATCCACCACAAGGTGTGGTGTAGCTTCCCAGGATGTCAGTTATCACTGTGGTGTCAGCAGGATTGCCCCAACCACACCTGTCAGGAAATGCTGGCAGAGAACCTGGTCTCACAAGCTCCACTGCAACTCCAATCATCCTAACAGGGATCACAGTAGTGGGAGGGAGGCTCTCTTTATCCATTAGTGAAAAAACAACAGCAAATGTGGCAGCTCGGCCAATGCAGCAGCAACCACCTGAGTTAGAAGGGTTTTCCATGTACAAAGCTCCCTGCCTGGCTGCTGGAGTCTTTCTGATTGCCAGCAGAGGACTTGGAAGGCATTTTGCTGATGAGATCAAGGACAGGCTTTTAAAGCTCAGCACGCAGGATCTACACACTAGAGGCAGAGCAGACAGGATCTGCACTTGGACCAATCTGAGCTGAAACCAGTTCAAACTAGTCTAACGGGGAGCAGACATTAGTTAGCGGTTAGTATTAAGCATTCAGCAGATTACCTGCCCTTTTTTCTGGTCCAAATACAAGTGTAAATGAAGTAGCTGAGAGACCTAGCGAGGGAAAAAAAAGAGAGCTATTGTGGCAACACACATAAAAGCCTTGAGAATAAGGTCTATCTGAAGCATAAGTAACCGAGGTGAGACATGAGCATGACACTGGGCACCATGTGCAGGGACTCACGTACACATAAAAAAGCACAAACATCCACCTATGGACTACACCTCTGAACACAGGTTCTCCCTTCCCCAGCTTTCCCAGAGAGATGGAGAAACCACTCCATAATCCCAGCTGACAAGGTGTTACCTAGCAAATGTGTTTAAAGAGTAAAGCAAATTATAAACACAATGGGCTGCCACTCCACTTCTCGAACTTGATTGGTGCTTCCCACTGGAGAAACCTCCAGTGTCTGGCCTAATGACTAATTTAGGCACACGATTAGGTGAGGGATGTGTGGCAGTCATTTTAGTCCTGGTGGCTAACAGGTCTTCTGAGCAGCAGGGTTAACACTGGGGAATTACTCACAGCAGTGAGCAGGAGTCTGCATGCAGAAGCTTTATCATGTCTGGCTGCAAGCAGGCCCCGAGCAAAACCATCAGCTTTATGGTCTAAGACCTGAATGAAGGAAGAAATCATTTCTGCCACCATATGAACACAAATATCCTACAAGCAATATCCTTATTTATGGCCAGGGCCTGCATGCTATGCCTAGCCTGGAACAGCTACCTGTTTTGGAGATGTCAGACAGTATTAAAGACTCAAAGGGAAACCAGCTGACGTTAATGTTGATGGTGGAAACTTAATTTCATCCACCCTTTTTGTTTGTGCAGTTCATTTCCTCTCCTGGGAACAGTTTGTTAGTGTTTCTCCCAGCCTGGTCTCTCTGTATAACTGTATTGTTTGGTTCTGCTGTCCTGTGCATTCACTGGCTGCTATCTGCTTCTTGGGATGAAAGAGCCAAGAAGAGAGAGACACTGGAAAGAGCTACCCAGATTGTAGCTCAAACAGCACAGGATTTTATTGAGTTGTGAAAAACAGATTCTTAAAAACTGCATAATGAAAGATACATCACACCATGACAAGACTACTTCACAAAATACTGTGATGGTACACAATACCATACGTTTCAAGAAAGCCATTTGTTGTTCCTCTTTAATGGTATAACATGGCTCAGCCATGAGATATTTGATTTTGGATCCCAAATGGAAATCCTTTAAAGGAAGCTACTTTCAAAAGCAACATGCTCAGTCTCTCTGAGGCAACACTATTATGTCCCCAAAGGTTTGTCAAACTGTGAACTCTAAATCACTCCTGACTTCTGCAGCTCTTGACCACATTACTCACCAGGGCACACAGTGTGGTTATCACAGGTATGGTATTAAGCAGATTGGTCAGAACTGTGCTCCCATATGTTTGTTAAGCACAGGAACACTCTCACTCCGAGCAGCGGGATCTAATCATTACAAAGAGGTTTTATCCAGCATCTTAAAGGAAAGGATGCTCCCCACCCCCACCTCCCTCTTTCCCAACTCCAGTAGAAGTGCAGTTGCTCAGTGTCACATCACACAAGGCAGCACGTCTCTTCGACACAAGTTTTGTCTCACAGTAAATAGGTCTAAACTCCCATGCAAAATTAGGGATCTAAATATTGACTTTCAGGCATTTGCACTGGCTACACCAGCTGGATACTAGAAAGGAATGGAAAGATGCTGTTTGTCTAGAGGATAAAATGTAAATCATCACCAGCATTTCCTTGCCAGTGCCCTGCTTTAAAAAACAGCAAATACACTGGAAACTGCCCCATAGATTTCTTAGGTTAAGGGCCCCTAAAGCAGTGGAGCTACAACCCCCCAGGGGAGGGTGAGCCCAAAGGTGGAGGTAGAAGTGACATGCCAGACCAGATAGGTGGTTTGGGAACTGCTGAGGCTGCACTCCTGAGCATTAGTTAAGGAGGTAGATGTGCATACTGAAACCCTCCTGTTCATCTGCATGCCTGCTCCTTTTAGCGATAACCGCAGTGATTGCTGGCTCCGGCAGCACTGCGAGCCGCATTTCCCCACGCATGAAAGGCTCCTGGACTGTTTCTCAGACTTATTAGGCACAAATGGGCTTTTCATTGACACCAGTCATGCGTGCCTACTCCCTCCACCTCATTTATCATCTCCTGCCAAGGCACTGTGCCCACTGCCAGCACAATCCTGTGCCCCACTCCCCTTTGTAAAGATGGGCACGCAACGGGCCACAGCACCAGCTGCTCTGCCACCAGTCCCTGCCCTATGCATGGGAGGGCAGGGGAAAGGCAGAGGAAGGTACATTACCAGGAACATCTGGGTTATACTGATCTGTAGGCTGTAGGATGTTTTCTGCAGATCATCTTTGAAAAGCAGAGTTGAGGCTGCAATTTGAGCTGGTTAAGTGGTTGGGAGCAGGATTTCTATTTGGGGTGGGGAAAGTGAGCTGTTTGGCAGAATTCGGTTGTTCAGGGTGGGGAATAAATGCAAACAGAATCTGTGAAACCCAGGAGCTTGAAGGACAGTCAGAGAGCTATGAGAGAGTGATGGGCAGGTTGTAGGACAGAGGAGGCAATGGCAGGGCTGGGCAGGGTCTTGGAAATGCAAGCGGGGATATAAAATTTGGGGACTGGGGACATGGCAAGGCCACAGGTGGTAGAAGGCTGAGGGTGACAGGTGGAGGGTAAGTGCTGGGGGAGTGGTGACAGCCAGGGAGCACATACAAGTGTGCTGGAGAAGGCTGGTGCTGCCTCCAAGCCACTGGTGCCTCTCCTCGCTGCAGCCACATGTGTCCCAGCTGCTTACACTTACACCTGACTGGTGCCAACGAAAACCCCACTTATGTCCAGGACCCATCTGATGGATTCACTACCTGGACAGGGCCTTGCAGCTGCCTCACTCCTGGGGCTGTAACAGCTTTGCTGCTGCTCCCCTCCCCCTGTGACTCAAAAGCAGGCTCTTCCTCTGCTTCTCTTCTCCCTGCTCAAGGTGAGCTGGAAAGATTGTAGCAGTCAGTGTCCAGGACCCTTTGGGAGTGGGAATGGCTGAACTGAATTGAAAACACAAAAAGAGCAGCAGGATTTACCGTCCAGTCGTCTAATCCCACCATTTAGGACTGACCCACTTGAAGTCACCACATGTGACAGAATCACCAAGCAATGAGGACAGGATTAGAGCCCCAAATGAGATTACAGGTCCTTGGTGGGGACACAAGCTGCTGGGGGCAGGGAAAAGATCTGTAGTGAGCACATAGCAGGGGTAATAAGACCAGATATCCAATGCTCTGTCTGCTTAGCAAGCATCAAAAATAGATCTCCAGAGAAAGAGAAAACACCCAAGCCAGCCAGCAGGGCAGACTCAGGGTGCTTGGGACACTGACAGCTCCTCAGCCTGTGAAATCAACTGGCACACGTTTGTGCCAGTGTTAGCACAACTGTGGCTTCTAAACAAAACAGAGCAGGGGAAGGGAGCAGGAGGAGGGGGAAGGACAAGCCTGCAGCTGGCTAACTAAAACTGTAGGCTACTTAAGACAGAAAAGGGAAAGGGCCAGGGGATCAGAAATAGGGAAGGTGTAGCTGTGCACAGCTTGCAGCGTCTGAGCCTGAGGTAAATATATAAGGAGCAGCCTGTCACACACTAATGGTAATCAGAGAGCCAGACATTGTTGTGCTGCATGAATAAAAAGATGACAGATAAACAGAATGGATAAAAAAAATATGATGGATAAAACGAATGAAGAGATGGGCCTTGCCCAAAGACCTTATCATGAAAGACAAAAGATCATGGTGGATCCTGCGAGAGCACAAGAAGAACACTTACCACAGCTCAGACAAAAAGGAGAGGACAGGGTGATGCACAGTGGGAGACATCTCCAGGCAGAGATTTAAGCTTATTTACTGCAAACAGGCCTGTACAAAGTACCCCTTCAGCCCAGCAGCTCACTGTGTATTGCCAGTAGAAGATGCTGATTTGCAAAGTCTGAGGGTCCATTCCTGAATACAAAAGCATCTTTACCTCTCCCATTACCCCAAGTGAAGGAAGAAATAATCCTCACATTCACTTGCTGGTAAAAGGCATGTTTTCCGTGGGAGCTGCAGGAGCTCAGTGCTCCTGAATAGACGGCCATCCCTGTAGGTTCCAGTTTTAACATGATCCTTTAAAGGTTGAAACCAAATGAATGTGTTCAGGGTTCACTTTCCCACCTATACTCAACGTTTGTCATGGACTAGCTGGATACCCTTAAACCTTGGCATTGGGAAAGTCTTATAAAGAGTATTCTCTTTCCCCCTTCCTTGGAAACTTCCCCCTAAGGACAGCACTCCAGACTGGTCTGGCAGCTGGCTGCTCAAAGTGTTTTCCAGATAATTAGTCATTTAAACTTCTCTCATGCAGGATAATCTGGCTCTGTTACACCTCCTTCTCAAGTGAGCAAGTAAGAACGTTGACATACACTTGACAGCAGGTGAAAACCAGGGCAACAGAAGCTGTTCCCACCCGTGCCTGTTGGAAAACAGCTTCCCCCACAGCAGCAGGGAGAGCTACATGGAGACATGTCCACACCCTCCCAATCACATCCTGAATACCTGAGAAACCCTAGCTATGCACTTGTGTACTGCAACACACCAGGCTGTAAATCACAGCCAGGCAGCTCTCCCTGCTAGAAGGACAGCACATTCCATCTGAGAAGGGCAAGGAACAGAAACTGCTTTAACCATTCCAGACCATTACACCGTGAAGAGTGTGAATGTACTGGGGGTGCGGTTCCATGAGCAGCAGTTAATCTATTTGCTTCCCATGACCAGGAAGGGATGATCTTGCTTTCCTTTCCTCTGGCCCTATTCCTCACAATGTAGTTGTGTCCCTTCCCTTGTGCTGGCACAGGCACATGAAATACATTTGTGGGCACAAAGAAACATATTTCCTTTCTTTTTCTTTCTGAATTTGCTTTCTGATAGAGATAATCTGAGGAGGTCCAAAGTGCTGGTGCACACTGGGAGCAGGAGCATTCCCCCATTTTGGAGGAGAGGTGTCAGATTGGCTCACCCTGTCTGTTGGATCTACACCCTGAGGCACACAGAAACAAGGATGTTGCTGGAGGCCACACGCCAAAGCAGCAAAGGAAGCCAGGGGTCCTGTTTTTTCCCCTCACACATTCAGAGTAATTTAAATGTCAAGGCTGAAGGAGATACTTGAACAGTCCCTGTTTTGTTGTAAAAAATCAATCTATTCAGTAACAACCTCTCAATTTGATTAACAGATCATTTTCCCCTCTCCGAAGTAGAGTGCAGGAATGACTCTTCTGGTTCATTTACAGGTTGCGACATCTGAACAGTTTTCTCTCAAATTGGGTTGACAGATTTGCCATACAACAGTACCACGCAAGTCACAGAGTTGCTTTCTTCCACCACTGAATAGGCACCTTCAGCAACTCATGCAAGACAACAGCTTCCCTGTACCATGGAGACTCTTCCCTCCTCTCCCCAGTGCCACTGGAGCCACATTTCAAGGCAGGGAGATTCTTAAGCAAAACACCAGAAAAGCAGAACAGCGTGAAGAAAAACTGTGGTGCTGAGTGTTCATTCTGGCTGAACAGCTGATGAAAACACTGTTGCAGCCCTGAAGGATGAACAGGTTGGCGCTGTGGGTTTGGGTTACTGTGGAGCTTCTCATATTCAGGAGCTACCCAAACAGGAGCCAGAATTCCTTAGGGATTTGAATATAGTTCTCACTCTGCCCTAAAAACAGCTCTAGCAGAGTCTGCAGCACCTTGCAGGAAGGGGCTCAGAGCTAAGGCAGGCCTGCAAAACAAGCATTCCCAGAGCCTATTTATGTCCATGGTGTGACTTCTTCAGGCTTACATGGCAGCAGCAAAAGTGTTCAGTGTCGTGGAGGCATCACACAAATGTTGTTTTGTTGGGCATAGCTCTGCCTTTGTTCCATGTTTATCCCAGGTTTTAGTCCAGATTTGGATTATCAAGCAGTCCCTGGGTTATCAGTCTCCCCACTGAAGAGTTCAGGAGAAAAACTGTACCAGGCCTGACCACCACAGTCTGCACAATGCTTGGCAGGGAAAAGGGAGGCAATTTTTGCTTTTCCCTTGGAACAGGATATAGTTTCTCATATCCTTGTGATCCCACATGAGCATAGCATACTCCAGGGGCTCTCCACTTCTATATTCCCCTGCATTCAACATGCTTTATAGACTTTATGGCATTTGGCCTCCTAAAGAGGTATTATGCATTTTTGCAGAAGGTAAGAGCGAGACATACTAAGACAATGTGCCTGAGATCATAGGAAAAGCATTTGGCAGAGGAAAATAACTTCCTCCAACTCCCATTTTCACCTTTTTCTATTATCAGTACCCACCTTACCCATGTTTCTTCTATCCCTTTGCAACAGGCACTGCAGCCATATCTTTCATACAACTCTTGCCCCCAAAACACAAGGCTATAGTCACTGTGCACATCAACCTTAAGCCATGATAGCCCATGGCCAGAGGGCAGGACCACGAAATGTAGTCATCCAGTCCTTGCAGCTTTTATGCAAGCAAAAGATCACAGATAACAGCTATTTTCTGGGTTTGGCTCTAAGCCAGGAACAGAGTACAGGATACACATCCTCAGATGAGACCACTCATCCAGTATCTCCTCATTCTCCAAAAGCAACTAATGCCACTTCCCATTCACTCTTGCATAAACGTCTGCAGAGAATTATACACCAGGTATGATATGTGTAAGCCTTGCAGATGAACTTTAGCCTTCACGAACTTCAGATCACATCTGCTTTCTGTCAGTACACAAATTAAAGGCCACTATATCCCCCAGACTTCTCAATAATTCAGCACAACAACTGAAAACCTGAGGTGCAAATGGCCTTTCCTTTCATTGCAGAAGGTGCTGACCAAAAAATTGTATTTCCTTGCCAGGGTGTTAACTGCATTCACCTAACATCAGCATCTTCCATGGAAACATGCTCCTATTTTAACAGTGGAAATGAAGAGCACAGGCTGTGATGAACAGAATTGCTAACATTGTCACCTGGATATTGACAGAAAATATAAAATTCAACAGAGGCCTGAGGCAGGCACTAGTCTTAATCCTGAATTTCCAACCTCCTGTAGATTCACTAGGCACCACACTTACTCTCTTCATCCCAAGATGAAGATGTGTGGCTGCTGAATGGGAGACTGGGAGGAATGACCAAATGAGTGAGAGATTCCTTATCCTCATCACCTCTGCCCCTCCACACTGTGGCTGCTGTTGGCAATGGATGCAGATAAGATGTTATTAATCACGCATTCTGACCTGCACCTTTACCTTTGAAGCTGCCATGACAGCTGCCGTGGCTGCAACGTTCAGCCCCCTCTTCCCAAAGTGCACAAGGGCATCGTAGCTCCGGTCTTTTGCCTGAATGAGGCAGTCATCGATCTCCTGTCACAGCAGAAAACAAAACAAACAAACAATAAGCACAAGAAGGACAAATTCAGACTATGCTCCCAGACTTAAACTACTTGTAGAACCAGGTCATATTTTATGGAGGTAGATGTCCTCCATTTCCTCCACTGCGGCTGGAGAGAAGTTCACAGCCAATGTTTGCAAAGAGGAAAGGTTTGCAGCAGGGGAGTAACTCCCATTGCAGGTTTTGGGAATTCTTCATTCTGTGAATGGAAAATTGGGACCCAAAGTTGGGATAAACTTGCACAGTGCAAGCATCACCAATAGGTTCTGGAAGCCAGAGAGCTATCTCCACCTGGGTAGCATAGACAAGGAGCCATTTGCAAACTGTGGACTCTAGAGACAAATTGGATTTCCACATAGTTAAAAATAATCACATGGTGACTGGGTAGCTGAAGCTGTACTGCCCTGCAACCAGTACTGGTGGTCTCAGAAGTATTTGGGATATCTCTGCCCATCACTGGAGTCATCAGCTTCAGATGCCCATGGAATTGGTAGGCCCAGAGTTTCTGAATTTCGATGTTGTTCAATATACAGTGAAATGGTTATGAAAGTTTCTGCCCTTGCCCTTCTTCCTTCAAGACACAGGGATTTGGATGATAATGAAGACAATGACCTCTAGTACTCAGCTACTGTAGTAGTGGGTTAGTAGAGACTAGAAGCTGTGAGGGGTTCCTATTCCTAATGGATGGTGGCAACCCAAAATTCATGAGCACTACTTGTGAGAAGCATAAGCAGAATTTCCCAGGAAGAAGAGAGACAGGGCAATGATCCCATCTGTCCTTCTTGGACTGAGATATAACTAACTGTTCATGCACTGCCTGTGGCTAGACAGAGCTTTGATTTTCATAGCTGTCAATGCAGGAAACAAGTTACTCACTCAACAGTTTGCATGTCGATATGTGACCAATAGCTATTTTTGGCCCATGTATTCACATGAGCCAAAAGGATCTGCCTGACAATGTCCCATTCACAGCCACAGGAATCTCCCAGGCAGGCAAATGATCCAAACTGTACTGTCCCCCTCCTAAAATTACCATCATTAATTTGAGAAAGACATTTGTTCACCCAGAACCTCAACATGCTACATGCCTTACTTCACTACACTATCCATCTCCCAGCCAGGCATGTACTTGCTGAGCCCATTTTAGACAGGCTGAGCTGTTTGTCTCATTGCTGCACAATGTTTTAGGCAGAGCTGAGAACAAAGTTAAGGAGTCCTGGCTGCCAGACCCTGTTTCTCTATTTGTTATATCCAGCCACAACAGAGCACTTCAGCTATATTCAGCCAGTATGTGCAAAGCAGCTCAGGAGGTATTTTTATCCCCCTCCCTCCCAACTTCAAGTGCACAAAAATGAGTTAATAAGTGCCAGTGCACTGAACTGATGCCAGGATTTAAAAACATAACAACCACAAAGAACAAAAACACCAACCAAAAGGAGGTGATCAAATGATAGAGGAAGAGAATCAGAGACTTCCAGCCCTTCAATGAAAATGAGCAATACTGGAGTAACCACACTGTAGTTCTGCTCCACCCAGAGAGGACCCAAGCACCTGTGATTACCTTTTCTTTTGAAGACAGCGTTGGATGGACAAATTTCCTGTATAGGAGGCTGGAGCCTTTTGTGTATGGAGACAGCAGCCAAGCTACAAAAGCTATTTTGAGTTCATAGTAGAATGGAAACCTAGAAGAAAAAGAGCTGTTACTGTCTGCTCCCAATTTAACCACTGCCCTTAATTAGAGATGCTCAGCTCAGGAAGGGACGGGTCAGTATAGCTCAGGGCAACTTTCCTGTACCAAAGACCAAAACACATTCACTGATCTTTGCACACACCTCAACTAGGTATGTGGGTAAATCTTTACTTGGACATCAGGACCATTATTTTATGGTCTGGAAGAAACTCTGCTGCACAATAAGAGGAGCTTTCTACATGCAAAGAGCACAGGTGTTACCTTCACAGTATCTCCAGTCACTGTGAGGGAGCAAAGATCAAACCAGCAAATCAATATTTCATTCATATATTTATGCACATTTATCTCTCTGCCTTTCCGCTTTTAAAATAATCCCCACAGCACAGGGGTTGGAACTAGATGATCTTGAGGTCCTTTCCAACCCAAACCATTCTGTGATTCTTATCTTACTGAATCTGAAATACAAGAATCTTTGTTATCCAAGCAACATAAAGGCACAGACCCACAGTGACTTTCAGGTAGTGCTGCAAAACATGGAGTACTCTAACTAACAATAGGACATTGCTTTAGCTGGAACAACAAGCCAGGGACATCCTGAGATTAGATTATGCTAACACTTCTCTGGAGGACAAAGCCCAGAGCTCAAGACTGGCCAGCCAGCAGCATCCTCATGTAGGCAGGCATGTTGCTACTAGCAGCATGATGAACAATTGTTGTCCTTTGTAGGCAAGAGCAGCACAGAGACCCTGTGATGGCTGTGCATCAGCCCAGCTGCACCAGACAGGCTCCTGCTGTGCCACACAGCACTGTCACTGAGCCAGCTGGGCCATACAGCATCCAGGTCTGGCCCAACAGGCCTCTGTGATGCTCTGCTCCGAGCAGAGCCAGGTTGATCTTCCACCTCAGTGAGGATCGCTACAGCATACTTGATTTCACATGCTGGCCAAGCCCTCTGCCATTCCTCCTGAGACCCACATAATATAGCCTCCGATAAAACAAAGCTCCAGATGAACACAGGGGAGGTAGATCTGCATGCAGATTCAGACAGGCAATGATGTCTTTTATCTCCTTTTCAACAGATGTGACATGTTGCCAAGTACCCCAATTTCCTTTCACTGCAGGACTCAGAGGTATGCAGTGCTCTACAGGAACAGGCTGTGAGGGCCATGCACTATACGTAAATTTTCATCCTGAAGTCTAACTGATTTCACTGGTTTCTGCTAGAAAGGCCTTACTATAAAGGGCAACCAAGCAATAAACATTTCCAAGCTTGAGCATCCAAATTTAAGGAACTGAATCTGATAATTGGGCATTTATGTGCTCTCATCCTGACAGAGGTCATCAGGAATCTTTCCACTGGCATCAGAGAGTCCACATCAGTATGGACTGCCACTGCCCTCCATCAAACCATAAACCCAGCCTAACGAGGAGCAGGTCTGGCAAAACATCCCAGGAATAACCACCTACACAGCAAAGTCCTGTGCTGCAGGGTTGTTTGTGCCCAATCTCCACAGTCTGTGTAGTTACTGTGGGACACAGCTAGGCAAGTCTAGAACTATGCCTGTAGTGACTGTTGTTTACATGATGACCTCTGCAAGCATCCAACTGGGCAGTCAGCTGTGCCTCTCTCACAGGCAGGGACTGAGACTCCTGTAATGATTTCCTACTAATGAGGTATCACTGGGCACTTCCACTTCTTTCTTGTTTTTCCTATGACAGCACTGAGAAAGGAAGCATTGCTCCTCCAGACAAAACACCCCTATGCACCTGAAGCCACTAACCCTGTGTTCAGGAGGCAGTGGACTTTATGTCCCATTTTTCCCCCCCTTGTAAACATTTCCATTTTCCTCCCATCTCATGCCAAGGATCCTCTCCCCTCTGGTGCTCACCAGCAAAGAAAGATATCCGTGAATGTCTCTGCTGTCGTGAAGAGCGCGAATATGATCCAGTACATCATCCATTTGACCTGGTAAGCAAAAACAGTAGCCGGTTCATTTTTCCTCATGGACCTCAAACTATCTCTTACAGGGACAAGTGTACAGAATAACTCTCACAGGAAAAAAAAGTTTCTTTCCCCCCTCGCTCTCCTCACCATGTGTTTAGCAATTACTGCGGACTCAAAGGTGCCAGAGTTTCCCCCACTTCAGCACATAACACATGTCAGATTTCCACAGCCCTTGGGAAGGTGGCTGTGGCCTTTAGGACTAGTCTCAGGAAAAGAAGAGCAGCCTGACTCTGTCCTTAGAGAAGCTCCATTGGCCAGCAGAGCACCATAGCCCTATCACAGGGCCTCAAAAGCCTCACTTGGTTGATTTTAATAGCAAATGTTAATATTAGGGTGTTGGCCAAACTACACTTCAGATAGAATGTAAATACTTACATAATAACTACAGGCAGGGGAAACTAGCCAGAATGAGGTAAAGAGGTACCTGCCCATCCCATGATCCAGGGCTCAGGAGAACAATCAACTCACTGCAATTACTGAGTCAGTGTGATCAGTTGAGTGGCTGTGCCTGCTCCCATCCACACCCTGAGCCCAGTGCAGCAACAAGGGCAAGGGCATTAGCTTAAATCCCTTACCTGGGGCTTAGGTGAGAGTGTTTTGCCTCACACTGGTAGTGAGAGCAAGTGCTGTGCTGTCTCTGTTCAACTAGGGTAACTCCACTGTGGGGTATACTGCCTGGGGTGATGGATGGATGGTCTTTGAGGTGACAGCGACAGACACAGTCTTTGGGGACCATGACCTGGTCAGGTGAACTGTAGTATCACAAGTAATTCAGGAATCTGGGAATTTTTGTCACTGAGCACTAAAGGGCATTTAAAAGCACAAACTATTCTGGTGTATGTAGTATTGGTGGTTCTCGGGCTGGAAAAGAGATGGTAAGACAGAGGTTGTTAATTTAACTGAAAATTGTTGTTTAATTACATATATTTGAAAAACGGGATCCCTAAGCAGCTTTGCTGAAATGTTAGAAAGCTTAAGAAAGTAAAAACCATGTAAATCCATGAATTAGAGAACTGGACTGTGTTACCTAAGGCTGGGATAATTAGAATAGAGTAAGAGAATGCTGGATAAAGGGCAGTACAAGAAGGATAACTATGCTGCTCTGGGAAAGGGAGGACAGAGGTGACAATAAATCTGGATATCACCAGCTCTGAAATGGCTCCTCCATCCTCTCCCCAGTGCAGTGGGGACAGTACCTGTAGTCTCTCTCCATCTCCCCTGGGGTTATTCCCTGAGCATCTGTCACTCAGCTACATAACTGCTCTCCTGAGATTTACATGTGTATTTATATTTAATGTTACAGCAATAATGGCACTGCCAAATGCCTGAGAGCATTGGCTTCCCAGGGCAGCTTCTGCCAGACTTTTTACATAACTATGAATCCCTCGGAGCCTCAGTGCCAACATGGTTCTCTCAGTTACACATTACTGCCAGCAAAACTTCTAAACACAAACCAAGACCTGGTGTGGATGGGCCTGGATCAGCCTAAACCAACACTTATCGAAACAACTATTACCAAGCAGAATAAAAATAAGCTACAGTGATATGTTTTGACTAATAAATGAAGGTTTCTACTGTATCTACTGTGTTTTAAACAGACACTAACAGACCTATTGCCCAACTGGTGTGTTAAACTGAAATTAATTGTAAGGGCAGAGCAGGTCTTAGATCAGCTGTTCTCACATTTGGGTCATGACCCCACATGTCTGATGCGAGTTCCTCTTTTGCAATTGAATTTCCAACAGGAATTGGACTCTCCAACAAAATACTTTCCGGAAAGGGACTATGGAAACGTCAAGTAGCAGTGGCAGACACTGCTTGGAGATGCTTGTGCACATCTTCAGCATTTTCAGTCAGAGTGTACAAATAGTGAGAAGCACAGCTGGGCAAGGGCTGCCTTAAGTGTCTGTTGTGTTCTGTCACACTTAAAATTCTCAAAATATCCAAAACCATTTTATGAAGGAGGAGAATGATAAATAAAATAAATCTCAGCAGTGACACTGAGTCCCAGTTTGAGCTTGCACTAAGGACTTAATGGGATAGCTATCTATGCTGTTATCCAGAGGAGAAAATGGGCTTGTTAGCCCTGTCATCTTGAGAGGATTGAGGAGTCAAGATCTGGAGGCTGAGCTGGGTTCAAAGAAGTTAACAGAGCTCAGGTTGTGAAGGACACTGCAAGTCCTACAGGACCCCAACCGCACTCAAGTGCTTTTGATTCTCCCACATTTCACTTTCCCTGATGGCCCCATATGCCTTTAGAAACTGGGGCCCAGGGAAGACTTCTCAGCAAAAGGCCAAGAGAGCACCCTCAGCTGCCAGACCTGCCTGCAAATAGGTCACTCCACAAGGAAGGATGTTTCTGTCTGAGGATTCAGTCATACATGCTTCGAGTTGCCTCCTCTGATCCTTGCTCTGAGGATTCAGTCATATGTGCTTCGAGTTGCCTCCTCTGATCCTTGGTTTGAATGAGCAGTTAAAGCTTCAAGGCTTTTTGAAAAGGCTTTGATTTATGCTGCTCTTCAGAAACAAAGGAGAACACACAAAGCTTTGGATGCCAAATGCTTTTCAAGTGGCTGTATATAGCTCACATCACCAGAGGAACAGCATACATTTGTCAAGGAGCATATCAGCTCTGCAGAGGAGCCAGAAGCACAAACCCAAGTCTCCTTATTTGAGATTTGTGCCTAGCAATCAGCCAGCCCACCTTCAGGCCAGTCTGCCCCTTGCACTGGTTTATGAGCTTTCCCAGAATACAGGCAACACCTTTACAATGTGGTGAGAAGCAATCTTAGAAAACAGACCCTGCAGCACAGCCACAAACCTCATTACTCACATATTCTTTGATGTCCTTTGATTTCACGGCTTTGTAAGAATAATACGCAGGGTAAAGAGTGCCAAATATAAGCCTGGAAAAAAAAACCAGACAAAGAATAAATGGATTAAATTGATCTCCTGTCACAGAGATATTTTTTCCACCTGTCTTTTAAATGTGTTTCTTGCACTAGTAAAAAGTGTTAGGATTTGATTTAAACTTGAGTGCACTGAGTACAATACAGGAGTGATTTTGCATCATTGAATTCAGAGAAACTACTGCCAGTGACATGAACGAAGAGCAGGGATTCAGGCTGAGTTTCCTTTTGCAATGGTTCCCATAGCTGTACTTTATGAGATACACACAAAATAACCAAACCAAATAAAAGAAAGGCCACCACACTTTTAAAATGAAATTAAAAATCTGGTTTCAAAACAATCTACTGTGACACCAGGAATACAGGAATATTGCTTTCAGAGGCAAGGCAAAATGAGAATCATTTGTCTGAAATCCCTTCCACCTCTATTCAATCCCCTGAAAAGCTGGCAGATAATAAAGCAGGATCCAAGTCCTACTGGCACAAAGGTTTGAATGCTGGGGCCTTATCCTACATTAAACCTGATAAAATAAAGAGCCCTGCATTGTTCAGTAAAGTCACTTAGGGATCATCAAAGGGGAAGAAATCTGCCCACCAAGATACACCAACAGGATCAGGCCTAAAAATGCAGTTCTGCTGTTCTTTCAGGCAGTTTCCTTTCATTGTCAAGTCTGAAAAGGATGCTGTCAGGTTCAAGATTTCATGTAAGAAAGAAACAAGGATCTGTAAGCTAAAAATAGCACTACTGAGAAAAAACGTTGAGAGTTTTTCATACTAACTCCTCTCTGCATCACTGCCTACTTGCTTATCCACTTCAGTTATTCTGGATGTAAGCATAGGCTTGTCAAAACCACTTTGCCTTGCCCAGGTTTCAGTCAGTTTTATTCAGTGCAGGAGGATGATGCTGCAAAGTCTAAATTTAATAGATTGCAGGGGAATGTTTACTGGCTTGCAACTACCAATCTTTCTACTGAAGCTTTTGCTTTAAGCTCATACAATTGCAGGTCTTGGGAATGAAAGTGATCAATGTTTTAATCCCTAACTGTGTAGCCACACAGACCCACAGTCATCTTTTCCACCCTGCCAACAGCAACTGTGTGCCCTGGGACTCACAATTACAGACAAGTCCATTACGTGCATAAGACATAAAAAATTAACACTGTGGGATATGGTGCACCACTGTACTTCCCGCAGCTCGGGAAGGTATTTGTGAAAGAGTGGGGTGAGCCAGCACACATCTTGACTTCCAAAGCAGTGACCGGAGGCAATCTGCCTGCTATTCATCATGCTCACTGTAGCATAGCTTAGCAGAACCTGAAGCACAATGCAGACTTCAGAAAAGCAGCTACTGAGTGAGGAGATTGACTATTTTACAGAGGCTTCACACCGGCTTCGAAAGGCTTTGCTGGAAACAGTCAGCTCCAAACCTATTCCACCCACAGGGGCTGTGCCATTTGCAGGGATCAGATACAAACGCTCAGAGAGATTCTGGGAAACCAGAAGCGTTTTTGTTCCTTGCAGTGTATTACCAAACAGCAACATGGGTTAAGGCAAGGACAAACACACAGACAATGGCTTGATCCGGTTCTCACTGAGGCTAATAGCAAATAATCCAAGTTCAGAGGTAGCAGGACCTAATCCAAAGAAGGTAAAGCTCACAAAAGGAAGAAAGCTCCACAATATTGAGAAAATAACAGCTGAGCACCTGAATAATATTTTCAGCTCTCCTTACAAAAAGCACTGCAATGCTGTCCTTCCTTCTTGGCCCAGCCTGGCTGCTATCTCACGCTTTTATTTCCTGCAAATAATCACTGAATGATTGATATTCATTTCCTCAGTTTGTGTTGGTAACAGAAAGTCACTGGATCCTGAAGAAGCAAACAGTTTACAGGATCACTAGATTAGCTGCAGACAATAAACACCCAAGAAAAAAAAATCCTGAGAGGGAAGGAAATGGTGCAATAATTTTGCATATGCAGAGCAAGGAATAATTAATACGGTGATGTGATTACCCTAAATTGGAGATTGGGGGTTTCACTGATTTGTCTTGTAGTTTGTTGTGCACATATATGAGCATTTATTACCAGACTGAAAACTGTTTTAAGGAATATTGGATGTCTGTCCTGTCACTGCTGTGGCTCACTATGTGGCTTGGGATCACTTAACCTCTGGGTACACCCTACAAATGGAAGACAAAAGGTGTTTGAGCATTTCTGTAAAGCATATTCAAGAATCTGGAGACAAATACTTGCACACAGGCATATTCCAAAAAGTCTCTTGAAGTTACTGTCTTCACTTGGCTTTGGATAAGGCCTGAGTACAATTGGTTTAATTCAAACACACACGTCAATCCTCTATCTCTTCCCTCAGTTCCTCTCCCGTGACAAAGACAATACATCTCTCTTCCCCCTTATCCAAGCTTCCTGTGCAATTAAAGTTATTGTTGATTCCTGCCTTCCTTCATCCCCATGTTCTGACTGTTGCCAAATCACTCTTGCACGCTATGCACAAACCTGAGGCTGAATCTTTGTTGCTCTGCCCTAGCCATGAAGACATTCCTTGTCCAAATCTCCTTTCTACATCTTTTGTGTGATCTTTACCCCATACAGATGCACCAGTGTTTAAACCTCTCTCCTCTGCCTTCCCCACTCCCAGTTCACTAGGCTAAAGGAACTTATCTTTGCTTTCAGTGCCTGAAAAATGTTGTTCCTAACTACTGTTGGTTTGGTCTTTTATCACATCCCACCTCAGTCCCTTCTCTCCTTTATTGCCTGTAGTGCCACCAGCTTCTTCCTCTTCTGTTCCTTGTGTCTTCTCCCACACCCTGGAGCTCCTGTGCTCCTTGCTCCCCTACTGCATATCATCCCATCGCCTCCAAAACAAGCTGTTCCCTGGCAGTTATCCTGACAGCCCACAGTTTGAGAGATAGCAGCCCAAGCCACACAATTTCCAACCATATCACTCCCCAGTTCCTCCTCATCTCTAGAATCTTCTTATGCAACACTCCTGGTGTTTTCTGAACCACACCACAGGACCTTCAGCTTTCCTAACACATCCCCAAAATCACAGCACAGGCCTTCAGTCCCCTCCCACAGCTGCCAGCTGACCTGGGACCCACATGTGCTGTGACTCCTGTGTTACAGTCATTGTCTACCTCATGCTGGCCAAAGTCCTGTCTATGGAGTCAACACTGCAGCTTTTGCCTCCTGGCAGACACTCCTATGAGACAATCTCCTTGGCAGCTAATTCTTGTGAATAATGTAGAAACTTAATATTTGAGACCTCTCTGACCCGTCTATTTTGGCCACAGCCACTTTGCAGATCCAGAAGTCAGCACCAGTGGAAAAACAGATGCTTAAGTCTCATTTCCTTAGGAAACCCTAGTCAACCCACTCCCCACCCATTTCCATCTTTCAAAGCTTCTTTGAATGAGCCATGTACCCGGGAAGGCCTTGGCTCTTTTGCCCTCTGTGCAGAAGCAGATATCCTGAGCAGCAAACCTCCCAGAGCCTGATGCAGCAGTTGCCACATTTAGCTACAGAAATGTGTTCTCCAGACTGGGCTAAAGCAAACACATACCCTCAGGGCACGGGGAAAGGCAAGGAAGTGGTGACATTCATCAGTGAGTTAGGAAAAGCTCACTTGCAGCACTAAACAATTAACCACAACAGCCTGACAGCTCTTACACTGCTCCATGCTGGAGGTCTACACCAATTACAATCGCCCTGAAAAAGGACAAAGCAGCAGCTGTAAAGAAATCACTGAAGAGTCAAATAATTGTGCAACAGGAGGCAAAAATCTAAGTAAAAGGTTAGCCTGCCTAAAGAATAGGATAAGGATTAATGCTGAAAATCTTATAATCCTATTAGGCACCTTAGCAGCAGCAATCTCCAGTCCGGATCATTACATGCACTTCCGGTCATCCTTTGTCCAAAGGGACATAGCGGAGGCAGAAGGGGAAAGGAGAAGGGCAAAGAAAGTGCCTGGAAGCATCACAAGATCTATATGACTGACTGCAAATGCTGCAATTGTTTCTTTTCCAACAAAGAAAAATAACTGAGGTTATTGCATTCTCTTACACTGCGTTGGAAAAAGGAGCAATGCAATCAAGAGAACAAAGTCAAAAGGAAGAGAGAAACTCTATCACCGGGAGATAATGTGTGGAATGGACTAACTGTATTTATTTATATAATTACATTACGTAGGAATTAGGGTTGGGTTTTGGTTTTTATTATTCAAGTTTACCACAAAATGAGATACGAGAGGATGAAGCTTCCCATATTGTGAGGTTTGCTGATTATTGGGGGAATTGTAAAGCAATTGAAGTGTTGGCTCCTTTTTAGCATATTCCAGGGGAGCAGCTGCACCATCACCAAAGCTCCTTCTGTTGCCACTTACCAGTACAGCCACAGCCAGCCCTGGCTATTATGTCCTTCTATTCCTTCTCCAGATCTGCTGGCGCAGTGATCTGACCATCACAGAGCACAGGCTAACCCAGATGTGACAGTATTTCTAACAGCATCTAGGCTACAGCCTGGGGATGGGCATCATTGCTGCAACCACGACCTGGGAGGGCCCCACATGGCATCTTGAGTTCTTATGATTTAGTGATACTGTTCTCTTCATGGAAAAGTCATCTACCTGCAAAATTAACTCTCACATTCCATAAAGTAGCTGCTGAAATAAATAGAAGGACTCTCAGTGATTCTCAAGAGTACTTGCCAGGAGTCAGGTTACTTCTAGAAATGCCTGCATGTCCATTCCCTTGTGCATTTTTAACTACAGGGCTATTTTCTGGGTGGCAACCTGGTGTTACAAATATACCAGCATAGTGCCATCTACATCCCAAGCCATCCAAGTTTCTCTCTTCCAGTTACCATGCCATCAGGGCTGCCCAAACACTCAGAACATTGTACTACCACAACACAAACAGAACAGCCCTTATTTTGCCCATAAATAACTAATGTTTCCATTTCATCAGCACACAGCAGCCAGGATGGCCAATTTATGCTCACAGGGATGGACACATTTAGGAATCACTGAGATATTTCCTATTTCCTCAACATGTTCACTGGCTAGTGCTTGCTTCTTACGCATAGAGCAGCAGCTGAGCTGTCACCAGGCCAGCATTCCTCACTGAAACCGACAAGAAGGGTGCCAATAGGTTTGTGTTCCTTATTATCAGTACTAATTAACATTCACACAGTGCCACAGATTAAAAATAAACACCACTGGTTTTGCACCAAAGGTTCCCAGTTTAAATCCAACAGCTGAGGATGCAAAAATAAGCAGTGCACAAGGTCAGGGAAAGGGTTAATGTGAGCCAAATGCTGATATTCAAGAAGGGACTGGGGTGGAGGAAGCACCAGCTGCAGAGGAGGTTCTGGGCTGATATTCTCTGGGAGTTGGCTCCTGCAGATTCATTGTGGTCATTTTGCAGCAGAACAGGTCGGCATGGTGGCTCAGGGAAGTCAGAAACTTGCCTGTTCACCCTCTGGGTGACAGCTGACACCATCCCCACCCTGGGCCCCAGGAGATGTGGATACCTGGCCATGCCAAACTGACACCCTGATACACTCTGGGAGTACTAGTGTCAAAAATATTCCCCAAGGAAAGCGCTGGGTTCTGACATCCCTGAGACAGATCAGGCTCACTTCAAACTCCATTTGCAATGGAGACAACCGTGCAGATGTGCTTATGTCACTTGGACAGTTGTGCAGGTCTCTGCAGGTATTAACAAGGTGTAGAGCTCCACTTGAACAGCCACTCAGCACATCTCTCTGCTTTAGGAAACATTCCTCTGCACCTCCTTGGTGGGTGACCTGCTTAGCTCTTAGGACCTGCTCAGTCCTTATCTGCATCAGCACTTCCAAAGCACCATGCACACCCACAGCACTGAGGTAGCAGAAGGTAGGCCTAGGAGAACTCTATGTCTAACAAAGACACACTGCTTTCTGTCCAGATCCACCTCTGACTTCTCAGTCAGGCTACTACAGAAGCAAACTGAAACTTCATCTTAGTTAATACAACCTTATGGCTGATGAAATCACTCCTCATGGTGTAACTGCAGGGCACAGGGACACCCAGCTGTCCTTCCAGCACAAACAGCAAGTCAAGGGCTGTCCTTGATGCTTCTAATTTAAGCAGTCTTGATCTTCCCAAAGCAGTGCATACTCCTCTCTAGTTAGCATGACCCTTTTTTGTTTTCCTCAGCCAGGGCTCTCACAGGGGAGTTGGAAGACAGCCAGATGCAAACAGGTGAAGAGATGTACCACAGTGGGAACAAATGGAGGAATTAGCCTGTGCCAGCTTGGAGCTATCATACAACTCCACTTGGGTCACAACAAGCCCAGGCAGTGCTATAGGCTGAGGGCAGAGTGGCTTGAGAGCTGCTCAGCAGATAGGGACCTGGGGCTGCTGGACAGCTGGCTGGAAACAAACCAGCAGTGTGCCCACGTAGCCAAGACAGCCAAGGGCATCCTGGCCTGTATCAGCAATAGTGTGGCCAGCAGGATCCAGGCAGTGATTGTCCCCCTTTACTTGGCACTAGTGAGGCAACAACTTGAATCTTGCATTCAGTTTTGGCCTACTCACTTCAAACTGGAGCAACAGAACTGCTGAAAGGCTTAGAAGACAGGTCCTATGAGGAGCAGCTGAAGGAACCCAGGTTGTTTAGTCTGGAGAATAGGCAGCTCAGAGGGGACCTCATTGTTCTCCCTGAAAGGAGGTTGTAGTGAGAGGAGGGTTGGTCTCTTCTGCCATATCTCAAGTGAAAGGATGAGAGGAAATGGCCTTAAATTACACCAGGGCAGGTTCAAATTAGATATTAGAAATAAATAAAAAAATCACTGGAAGAGTGGCCAGGAATTGGAAGTTGCCTAGGGCAGGTGGTGGAGTCACTGTCTCTGAAGGTGTTCAAGAGGTGCTTGGATATGGTATTTGGGAATATAGTTTAGGGATGATCATGGTGGTGCTGGGTTGATGGTTGGACTAGATGATCTTGAAGGTTTCTTCCAACCTTGATGATTCTGTGAACTATTACATATACTCACCCTGAGATACTCCATTCAGACTGTCTAAAGAAGATAAACTTGTCCTCACTTTTCCCTTTTTCCCAGTTCTTCTTACAGGAAGTACATAGAAATGCTAAAAAAATCACTACTGCTGATGGAAAGGCCTTGTAATATATTGGGATTGTTATGATAATGCACATAATGCCTACTAAAACCTGACATTCTTACTAAAACTACCAGCAGTGAAGGGTCTCACAGAGTCATGTTTACATGGACACCCTTGAGTACCATATTTAAAGCCCGAACAAGACTAGGCAGATACTTCACCATTCCCAGTGTTACTGCTCCAGGCTGCCTTCAAACTCAGGCAGAACCTCAATCAGTTTACACACAAGCCAATGCTTCAAAGTTTCCTTTCCAGTGCTTCAGAACAGAAAAGGCCTGTGTAGCTGCTATAAAAATACCCCACGGCTCTGCAGCTATTTTAGGATGCAAATTCATTGCAGGTAGATGGCTGCAATGAATTTGCATCTGTTCTACTTCACACTGCCTTCAGTGGAGCTGCCTGGCCTGGAGCACTGACAAGGGAGGGGAATTTGTTTGTCACCAAGACAATGTTTTAAAGGGAGGGTCTGCAGGGAGAGTGTGCAGGGCTGGTGTGGGACCCACAGTGAGAAGCTGTGGCTGATAGTAACACTGTTCGTGGCACACACCACGAGGCTCTGAGCAGCTGCCTCCAGGAGATAGTGTTCCGTGGACCTCTCCAGAAGCATTTGCTGCTCTTCTCCTGTGTCTGCTCCCCTCCCAGCTCAGCAGCACTGCAGGAGAAAGCATCTCCAAGCACTGAGCTTACTCCCAGCACTGGCACAGCCACTTCATCAGACCCTTTTGGGGAAGAAGAAATAATTCATCAAAGTGTGATACTGAGGGCAATAAAATCTGTGCCTTTTAGAGAAGAAAACATTCTCTGCTCTGTGACCGGGTCAGACCTTCACTCAGCTTCATTGCTCAAAAAGGCAGTGCTCAGCATCTGTGTGCCCTGATGTTTTCCCTAGCCAGTACTGACTGTATAGCTCCTGCTTTGAGAGGTCTGTCTTCTTCCAAGCCAAATAAATGGCAACTTGAAAACTAAATGGTATGTTTTAGATGGGAAGGGCTGCTTTTCCTGATTCTGGAGAGGGGGGTGTTTATGTGGGAAAAGGTTTTTTTAGAAGCACTGACATTATATTCCAGAGATGACAGATGGTCTAAAATCTGCATTGTGAATTAGCCTACAGATTTATGGTAGGCTCATGATACGGAAAGGAACTGAAAGAGACCTATAACCTGATCAAACTAATTTCTAGGCTAAAAAAGGTATAAAATACAGATTGCATATCAACAAAGCAGCTCTGTATTATTTTCATACAAGATCACATCATGCTGCAAGTATTATTTTGGAATTATTTTGACTGATACTATGTGAATCACCTTTTAGGAAGCATAACCACATACAGAAATCCTAATTTAGAGCATAATCCTACTACATTTTATGTACCCAAAAGATCAGTTCAGGTTATGGAAGACTTCCACCATCAAACCATAAGTGCCACCACTGTCTGAGGAAGTGGCAAGAAACACTGAAGCTCCTGTTTGTCTATCTCATGCTGAAAGACAGCATTAGACTTCTTGTGGTGTACCCATTGGACAGAAAACAGGAATAAAAAATTAAATGAAACTATAACCCATCCAAACCAATTGCAACTATCTCCTTTGAGTAATGTTACTTCAGCTTCCCAGGGACAGAACATTACTAAAGTGTTTAACTAAATGCAAGGAATAATTTAGCTCACCAATGTAATTTAAAAAAACAAACCAAGAGACCTCTTTGGCCCAGATACTCAGCCAAACCCATGAAAAATGCTGACTTCCCATGGACTACCAGTGATTCCATCCACTGAAACAAATCAAGCAGTCCCAAGGCTGCTGTGAGTAGCACCAGGTCTTAGAGCTCTCCACAAGCTCTTGGAGGAGGATGGAAGCTCTGGGTAGATCTCTCCACTAGCCAAGGAGAGCAGTTTGGTACAGGAACAGGTATCAGGCACAGTTATGGCCAGCTTGGTACAAAACAGCCTGAGGAGAAAATCTTACTACTGTACTACTGTATGGGCATTTCTAGAAATTCCACAGAATCACAGAATTGTTTGGGTTGTAAGGAACCTTAAAGACTATTTAGCTCCAACCTCCATGCCATGGGTAGGGAGACCTTTGACTAGTATGTTGGATAT